GCTACATTTTAATGAATGGTAGAATTAAATGTTTGCCAGGATTTTTTTTAAATAAATGATCAGTTACCACTGGGCACATCCCTCACATTTATTAGCTACCTTCCAGGAACATTTTTCATAACTTGCAAATTGAAATGAGGTGGAAGCTGAATTTTATGTCTTCTTCATTTGCCCATAGTAAATATAGTACTTTCACATAAACCACCAAGATCAGTGGGTTTTTTTTGGGTAAGTCTTTTTATGACACTGGATAAAATTATGTGTGTGAGAATAGCAAAAAATAATTTAAAAATAATTAGTAAAAATATGGGTTTCCTTTTCAAAACTGCCTGGGGACCTGTGCACTGGCAGACAGGATTCCTCACTCATTTCCAAGGTCACTATGAGACACCTGGTACGCATTTACTGTTAGAAACGCCCGGCTACAAGGTCAGATGGATCATGGGGTTTTTGTCATGTCACACAGACTATTGCTGCTTTAGCTAAATGGTGTCAGAAATACCATACCTTTCATTTTCCTAATATCAAAAAATCAGCTTTATGTGATACTAGAAAAAGGCGTGGTATCTTCTGTAGGGTTAAAGGCAGACACAGCGATGCCGCTGGCCGGGGGGTGCGGGATGGGTTTGGGGGAGCGAGGGCCGGGAGGTGGGTCCGGCAGCGCCTGCCCTGTCCCACGGGGCCAGGCAACAAAGCGGCAGAAAAGAAATGACAGAAATCTCCTCTTTTACTTTTTTCCCATTTAATAATTCAGGCCTGTCAGAATCCACAGTCTATGACGGGGCAAGTTGGGCTCGTCCCCAACACTGCCTTTGGGGAGCCCTTGGGGCGGCAGAGAAGACTGATGAGCCAGACCCCAGCCTGACAACTGCCTTGTCCTTAACACCCACACACGAGCAAACAGCCTTTGCCATGCCAGGAGTTCATGAACATCCTTCAGATGGCATTAGTTTCCTTTTTTTCCTCAACTTTCAAGTCCAAAACTATGCAAGAGGTTCACTTTCTCCTTCACTCTCTTTTAGAAAGCTTTTTAAAATCCTTTCAGTACATTGTAGGCTCCTTTCTATCCCCAAAAGAAAACGAAACAAAGCTGAAGACATCTCAGCTCACAAGAAGAAAATATCTCCCCCTGCTGCAGGTTAAATGGGGTTTCAGCCGATGTCAGCAGCCGCAGTGACAGCGCGGTGGCACCGTGGGAGCTGCGGGAAAGGGTCCTTTTACCAGCCTCCCAGTTATTTTGGGCTGATTTGTGCAAAATACAGTAACTGCTTATTCCTTCGATCTTTTTGTTCTGCTGAAGTCAGAGTACCAACCCCACTTTCATAAGGATTTTAGAAAAGCGTTTTTAAGAAGAAAACAATTTTAAATTTTCACCATTTGCAGTCACATCTCAAGGCAGAAGCCTCTTCTAAACTTTTATTTCTGTACTGGAAACGTCCTGCTCCGATACTGGCTTACCCATGAATGTTGCTTAGACGCATCACCACGAAATCATACCCGTGTGTGTTTCAAACAATACTTTCTACACTGAAATACAACTTCTTCGTGGTCCTAATCTTCTCCCTGCCTGCATCAAAGCCTTTCCCAAATAGCTTTGGTCCTAGTAGTGGAAAATTACAATCGGGAGATTTTTGTCCCAAACAGCAGAGGATATGACCTCAAATAGCACGTGGAGTGTGTCGCAATCTTACTGGAAATTTTAAAGAAAAAAGTGACACCCCTGTGAGTCAATGAGAAGGGGTGATGGGGGGGCACTGACCCCTGCCCGCTTCCTGCCGGGCACTGTCCCTGATGCAGCACTTGGTGCCCTTCCCCTTCTGCTCTGTCTCTTTGGGAAACGGGCAGAAGCTGGATTTAATGGGCAGCCGATCCCTGGGGAAGGGCACTGCCTTCTCCCATTGCCCCCTCCCCACGGCCGGTTTCCAGCCCCCGTTGTCCCCCCGGCAGAGCCCCGCACTGGGGACTGTCACCCTGTGCCTCCCCGGCCACGGTGCCCGGACCCCGCGCCAGCTCTCCCTGCCCATCGCACCGGCTTCCCCAGGAACGGCTCCGGGCTCGCTCCAGAGCGTACTTTATGGGGTCTCATCGCATGGAGTTACTTTCACAGCTTCCCTCACGGCCCTGCCTGCTCTGGCGGCCAAAGAAATGGGTTTTATTAGTCAATGTCAATAAATCACAATGGACTCTTATAGTGCTATGTATATAAAACTATATATATATATATATCACATCACGGTTGGGTAAGTAGCTCCTTTACTCCTGATTCAGAAGGTTATTCCCAGGCTCTGGCAAGTCCATTTCTCCAGCTGCATTTGCAGCTGTTTCAGCACATGCTGTTCTGAACTCGCAGCCTGGTGCGGCAGCCCTGAAACGTGCATGCTCTATACTATAATTTGTGAGAAATCTGCATTTCTGCCGCCACTCTGCATCTCATCCAGAAACCGGTTTGAACAGGGTCACCTTTCATCGAAAGGTTCTGAGAAATTTATATTCACATAATCTTTACTGTGTGCTACTGATAAACATCTGCGTTTTGTAATCATATCAGCAAGAGATAACATGATAATGAACAGAAGAGATCACATCTACTAGAGACTGGGGTGATTTTTCTTAGACAGAAGTTTGAGTTGTTAAAATTAACTACAGACCTCGCACAGGGGCTGTCTTCCCAACATCACGTAACAGCAGCCTCCTTGTGGAGGGCATTTTGGAGACATTTGAGATAACGCTGGCAGTTGGGGCACCCCCGGAACGGGTGGGAATGGTATTTTAATTTGCACATGATAGACAATAATTTTATCTGGAAAAAAAAGTAATCCTTGTCCCCATGGGCCAGTGGCTGCTGTTGGCAGCAGGACGGTGCCCACAGAAGGGGACGCAGGCGGAGGCCAGGGCTGGGGTTTGCTGTGCTCTGGCCAGCTGGGGATCAGGCATCTTGGGGACCCCGGCATGTGGGGGTCTCTCTGACCACCCCAGAGCTGCCAGTGCCTGTGCTGCTGGTGCGGTCAGCGAGCTCCTCTGAAACCAGCAGGAGCCTCACTGTCGAAGCTAAAGCTGCTATTAGAGCTAAAGAAGTCCTTAGCTAACTTTCAAACTTTGTATATAGGCACGCAGTGGCATTTCTTGTTTTCTTATGAAATACTATGTGGAATTTCACCTGAGCTCCACAGTCCTGCGTGTCAGAGGGGCATAAAGTAACAGATGTGCTTTTAAAATCAGAGGCTCAGTGATCAGAAGGTGAGGGACCACTCGTGGACAAGTGCGCCCGTGCCGTAGGCGAACTGCTTCCCCAGAGCTACCCTCACAGCAGAAACCACTGTGGATTTAAACCTCACCATTCCTGCTCTCAAATGCTTTGAAGTCTATTTTTGTTTCTCTGGGTTTCCCAAAATAGAACACGCCAATTACACCCACAGCTGTGGAACTTGGGCAGGGAAGGGGTCCTACAGCACGGAGCAGTTCTCTGCAGCTGCACAGCATAATTTGGCTTCAGAGTGCACAGTGGTGGGTTGCAGATATATAATTAGGGGGTTTTCCAGTCTCTCATTCTCCTGCAGAAGCTCCTTTTTAATTATCTGCTCTGCCCAGTGGCTGCTAGACTGCTGCCTGGAGAAGGGCAAAGGGGGCTCTCCTGAGGGACTTATTCCTGCTCCTCCTTGATAGACCAGAGCGAACAAAACAGTGGTGATGAAGAAGGACACCCATGGAAAATCCAGTTTTACCTCCAGGCCCGGACTGGGTGCTCGGGTCCAGACCTGGTGGTGCAGCCTCCAGAAGTGCTGATGAATTTTTGCACGGAGCAAGTGTTGACTTGGCAAATGCAGCTTTATGTGCCACTTTCGGTCTCAGCATTTTTCAAATATTGATAACCACCTATAGAGTTGAATAAAACAGCTTCAGGCAGCACTGAGGCAAGTCCCAGCCTGGAGCTCCTCTGCCCGCACTGGCGGGGCGGCCAGTGGGGCGAGCGCCGGCCCCCGCCTGCTCCCTGTGCTGCTCCCCGTGCTGCTCCCCCAGGCATCTCTCCCGCATCTCAGCATCAATCCTGCATCTCAGCGTCTCTCCCGCACTTCGAGCTCATCCCACCCCGAGCCCGGCTGGAGGTGAACCCAGCCCTCTCCTTCCCCGATGGAGCCCGGCATCCGTCCACAGGCAGGTGTTTGCTCTTTGAAAAGTTTATGCTCTCCCTTTCTCTGGAAGCTCCAGCCTTCAGCAAAGGGGACTCAGGGTAATGACAGTTATTAAAACCTGCTGAATGATTAACAGATTATTGCTGCTGACAGATTCACCCGCAGTCCTGGCTGACCTTTGCTCCGAGCAGGTGGAGCATCTCCCACCTCCAGCGGAGCCTTCCTGCCTTGGGGAAAGCTCCCTGAGATGTGACAATGTGATGGGGACACGCTGCCTTCGTCCCCTCTGTGTCCCAGTGCTCCTCCTCCCCCCTGCCTGCCGCTAACAGCCACACGTTGTTTTAGCAGGAGGATGTTTGCTGCTCACTAACTTTATTGCGCCAGGAGACAGAAGGAGCATTTTGCTGCTCTCTCTTCAGAAGCTTCTTGCTTCCTCGCAGGCTCTCAGGTGGCCAGTGGAAACAGACTGTGGCAATGAACCGCCTCTTCTCCGGCCAGTTGCCCTCCGCTGCTGTGGAACGTGTTACCAGTGATATAGAAAGGAAAAAAATGCAAATAGACAGGAAAAAGGTGCTGGGAGCTTTGCTTTTCTAAGGCATTTAGGCATCGCTCTGCCAAAGGGGATGAACCGATCCACAGTTGACAGCTCTCATGACCCTGCAGCACAGCAGCTCTCCAAGCAGAAGCAAAAGAGAGGAAAGTGATTTTTTTCTCATTTTCTTTGCATCCCAGCAGCTTGATCTCACCTCCCTCTGAGTGCCATACATTGACAGTGTTTAGACTCCAGGAACAAAATGTTTTCAGCTCCAAAGCTGGTGTTTTCTCGTGCTTCAGAGCAATATAAACCATTTTCTCATTTTGCAAATGCCCTTTGTATTCTTAGAAGCCTTTATTCAGTCGTCAGCCAGAAATGCCCCTGCAGTAGGACCTACACCAAAAGGTACAATTTCAAAGCAGGACAAGGCACTGGTACCTGCTCCCCAGGGATGGCCCATCCCTCTGCTCCCAGGTGCTGCCGGGGGGATGCTGCAGGGGGATGGGGAGCCCGGGACATGTTGCCCAGGAAGCAAAAATTCACCATTGGCAAGAGCTTCTCCTTCTCATCCCCCAGTTCTGAGCCATTGGCGGAGCTCACTCATCCTCGCTGGGGCCTGCTGGGGGTGGGAGCTGCTCTTGGGGGATTTGGGACCCTGCTCCGGTGCCTCTCATCCAGCAGCAGCCACCGTGGTCGGTCCTGCCCACTGCATCCCCTGCAAGTCACAAGCACCAGAATTAGCTCCTGATAAAAGAGTATTTTTACATCCTGATGGTCTTTAGCGCAGCACACCAAAAAGCATTTACACTAGCAAAACAACAGGAGTAGCCATTAAAAACTCCCAAAATTTCCTACCCAAATTTCGCAGCTGTCCCATGGCTCAGAAATGACAGTGTGTGTACAACAAAATCCAGAGGACAAACCCTCTCGGTGTCCTCCCTTTCCTCCAGCCCACAGCCTCAACAGCAGGCTTCAGTCAGCCACCACCCCAGCCAAGGAGGCCAATTGCAGAGGAAAAAAAATGAAAAGCTCTTCCTTCCTGGGCTTAACTCTGTCCCTGCCACTGGGGAGGCAGGGCTGTCTCGCTCGGGGTTCACAGCGACACGCTCAGACGCTACATGAGGCACCCCCTTACACGTGTTTTCTGTGTCCTCGGTTTTCACCTCTTTGGGTGAAAAACGTAACTGCATGGGTTTGAAATTCCCACTTGTGTGAGAGGTGTCTTAGAGAAAACCAACCCCTCTGTTACACATCCACTGGTGCTTTCCCTTTTCTTAGCAATTTTCCAGAGCACCATCATTGCTTTTTCCCCTTTAGAAGAGCAGTCAGAAGCCGAGGGGATCCACAGCCGCCCGTGGGTTCCAGCTGCACGTTGGTTTATTGCCATTCCCCAAACCAGCAATCATTGTGAAATGCAGCAGCTGAGATTTTCAACTTCAAAAAGGCCGGAACGAAACGTTTTTACAGCTCCCAAGCGCTTCCTCAAAACCTGTGAGCCGCAAGATGACGCAAAACTGCCCTTTCCGCGAAATTCCAGGTTGGAGAATGGGGCGTTTTCCCGAGGAATGACACTCCGGGCACAAGGGGACCGCGGCGGCCGCTCCGCCTGCAGTTGCGGGGCTCTGCCGGGAGGTGGGGCCGTGCGGGCGGCGGGGGCTCCTCTCCCCCGCGCCTCCCCCGCCTCCCCCGGGCTGCGGTGGGTGCGGGAGCCGCCGCGGCGGGTGCTGCCCCGTCCCCGCAGGCAGCGGCCGGGGCTGGAGGCGCCGGGGGCCTTTCGGCTCCAGCTGAGAGCGGGTTCGCGGCTGGAACAGCGCCCGGGGGGGTCAAACCGCCGCGTTTTGGGGTCGGTTTTGATTGTCGGTGAGAAAACTGCAATTTTCAGAGATTCCGTGCGACAGCCCCAACACTAACCCCGGCGAGCGCCCCCGGGGGGTGGCTTTTCAGGGTTTTTAAAGAGACTCCTCTTAAGTTTCTGTCACTGGGCAATTTCCCGCTGGTTTCCGCAGCTTTCTGGCCTCATTCCAGGTTTTATGTGAAAGCCCTGCACATCACTGAGCAGCGCTGCAGGCTCCCATGCTGCGGCTCCTGAGGAGCTGCACAGTGCTCTGCAGGCACAGTGTCACTGCCCCCGGGGCTCCCCGTGTCCCCCCGTCACTGCCCCCCACACCCGGGGCTCCCTTCGTCCCTACGCCACGGCTCCCCGACCCCTCCTCACAACCATCACTTGCAGTTCAGCTGCAGATGCAAATCTGATCATCAGCGTGTTAGCAACACAGCTGCAACACTGCCAGGACTGAAAATGCTCCTCTTTGCATATCCGTTTAAATTTTACAAGTGAAATACAACCCTCAAAATAGCCAGCACAGGTTGTGCTCCAAATACGGAGCAGCCATGTGGGTGAAAATGTTACCTAATTTGAAATTTTCAGCCCAAAGCTGCAATTTAATTGCTTAATACCCACAGCAAGCAGTTTTCTTGTAAATTAATAGCATCAAATATATTAGGAAATGAAAATAGCTTCTTTGGCACTTATGTTTTTGCGATCCCTTATCTTCCTGGTATATTTTTAGAATGGGAGATGTTATTGCCAAAAGTCTCATTAAAAAGGATTTACAATAGTTAATAATTAGTGTATTAATGCACCAGATTGCAGCAAAATTAATACAGGCTTTTTCTGCCTGGACTTGATTCATTGCTACGCACTGAAGCGGCAACAAAACCGGGCCCAAGAGCAGTGACGGGTGTCCCCGGGGGAACGGCCTCGCGCAGGGAGAAGCCGGGGCTGACACAGAGGAAACCTCCACCATCCCAGCTGGAAAAGCAACAGCAGAGATTAATCGCCCTCTGCAGCCATCCTTGGTGCTCAGGGCAGTGGCAAGGACGGTCCCAGCTGTCCCTCTCTACACCCCGTAATGCTTTTCGGGACGCACACAAATTAAACCTAGAGCTGATCAGCCTCCGCCGGGCTCTGGCACCCTAGAAGGGCCGAGTAGCACAGACCCACCCTTCTGTTCCTCATCTGCCTGCCAGGCAGGTGCAGACCCTCCCACGATCAGGCTAACGAGAGGAAAACCAGGATGTTTGCCCACACCAGAAACCTCTTACTGACCCAAATCAGCCCTGGGAAATGGTGACAGTGATGGAGTGGCTGATGGGACTGAAAGAGTTTGAGTGTATTTCATGATAAAGGGCCTGTTTATATATTTAGCATTTTACTATGCCAGAATGCAGAGGGAGCATGTTTTGATCTGGTCTTTCATCCTGAGGGCTGGCTCTTCCTTCCCCTGACAAATAGTACGGGGGATTTAGTGAGAGAAGTTCTCCCTCTACAGATCTTTTTGCGAGTGATGGAAGTCGTGTGACAATGAGCCTTGTTCCTTTGTCACAGTTACTCCATTTCAGATGTCTTCAAAAGAAGGGTGCCAGCAGAAAACAGCGAAGAGGCAGGGCCCCTCACGCTGGTATGAAAATACAGCTGCAGTGCAGGGATGCTGGGGACACCATTCCTGTCCCACACATGGCCACAGAGCCCAGGTCCCCTGCGCAGGACACCGCACGGGGCGGCTGCACATCGTTTTAGAGCCCAAACTCAGTGTTAAAGCCACCTGCAAACTGCTTCAGCCTGTGCCCTGAGCTACACTCCCTGGGCAACAGCGGTGCAGCAGAGCAGAACGTGCCCAGCCCAGCCCAGGGTCACCCCCCACGGGGCAAATTGCACCCCCCCAAGACTTTGCAGTTTGGACTCTGACGTGCTGGAGAGGAGGAGGAGGGATGCACCGTGGGGCTGTGCTCGTCCCGTCTCGGGGACGGTCAGGCCTGTGGGTCACCGCTGAAGCCAGGGTGGCAGGATGCCCGGGACAAGCTCCGCGGGTCAGTAGCCGCCTCCTCCAGCAGCTCCCGGGCCGTGTTCCACCCGCAGGGTCCTGTCTCCAGCGCAGTGGGGCCGGCACCCCCCGGGTGGGAGCTCGGGAACCCAAGGGAGCGGGGGACAGGGCACAAGGGCATCCAGCCTGTCCTCGGAACCACTGACACTGAGCAGCGACACCGAGAGCCATTGAAACCGCTTTGCTGGAACTTAAGAAGAGAAAAATATCTATTAGGTAAATTCAGTCTTCCAGCAGCAAACCAGGGAGCAGAGGAACAAAATGTCATGCGTGCATCTGCAAACGCTGCCTCGCAGCCACACCAAGGCCTGCCTATGCAGAGCCCAGAATCCTGCCTATTTGCTCTTCTATTTTTAGGAAATAGTTTCACTTTCATTAAGTAATTTTCAGAAATCAGTACAGCCATTCATATGAAGGTTTGGTATGTTAATAAATAAGCCAGACAGAGGAAACTCGGTAACAAACCTTCTCCATGTCATAAATTCATTTACAGTAGAGCTCACAAGTTACATTTCATCCAAATCACAGAACACACGCACACTTTATAATGTAAGTCTGGGCCTTGTTTTAAGAGGTGGCCTCAATTACTGGGGCTCCCCTGAGAGGCATCGTTGGAAAGCCTTCACCGTTCCTGAAACAGAAGCATCCTGCGTAAGGTCTCCCTTATAATCCTAAGCCCCTTCAAAAAGTCCTTGATTCCACCATGTCCTGAAAGCAAAAAGTTTTCCTTGTAAGGTTTCACAGAACATGCAACTCCTACATCTGGTATTTTCAGATTTGTTATTTTTATTATTATTGTTATTTACTTAATAATGGGTAAGGGAGAATCTGCTAGCAGCACAGCAGTTCGGTTTTCCAAAAGCGTTAAAGAACTTCAGCACGAGGATCCAACAATCATTGAAGAACTGGTCCTTGCAGGGTGCAAGCACCGCTCTGCAAAGCAGGGAGTCTGGGGGAGCAGCGCCTGTGGCACCTTCACGGACAGGGACAGGGACACCTTCTTTTGGGACAATAACTGGTATAAGCTTGTGGTCCTGCAGAACACAGGAAGATGTCCCCATTTTATGTGAGAAAGCTAAAATGTAAATGCAGTGTGCTCAAAGAGCTTGATGAAACAGGATTTATGTCTTCTGTTTTTAAATATTGGACATTTCCAAACAGCTTATTCATTTGCTCCAGAAAATACAATTCTACCCACTTCTACCCACATAGCAGCCATGCAGCTTCAGCTTCCCAGGCATTATTTTCAGCAGATTTGCTGTTCCTTTTGTGCAGCGCTCATTGTCCAGCCTGACAGCCGCTCCTCTGTCTCTGCTCCCTCCTTTTTATCAGTAATCTCTTCTTTGATTTCTGTTTGGGTTTGGGTTTTGCTGAATGTCAAAGCTGATTTCTCAAGTCCTGCGCACACACGAAGAGACGGGCAATGTGCCGAGAATGCACGTCCCACCGGGACGCCGAGGGCAGCTCCAGCGAGGCCTGCGCACCCCGACCTGCAGAAATACCATGTGGGTGCTGCCAACGCTCCCGGGCCGAGTGTCCTGGTCCTGCAGAGGAGAGCCCGGCATGGTCCCAGAGCTGTGGCCAGTGACCAGCACATGCTGTGGAGCCAGCCCTGGGCACCCACAGCTCACCTTCAGAAACACACCTGAACATCAGGAGTTTGACCCAAAACTCTCAGAACATTCAAAGCAGATGCTGCCCTGCTGTAAATGATCTCAGCATCGTCTAGGGCCGTGGGGGAAAATGCTTCTGAGTGTCACAGCATTTCAGGCTTTTTTGCGAAAAGAGAGTTTGTTGTTTCTGACAAAGCCTCAGAGGCTGGGACTAGAAAAGAAAAGCATAAAAGATGGTCATCACTCTGCCAGGTCTCCACGTTATGCTTTGACTCGAATATTGTAGGATGGAGACAGAACGGGAGTGACAGTGTGGGTCAGTTCCCGTTTGGGCACTGGAAGTGAAAGGGCTGTGCAAGAGTTAAAATCAGAGCACAGTGACAGTAAATACGATGCAGGTGTTTATTATGGTGACATTTAACAAGGAAATCCTCTCGGCTGGGCGGCAGAGGAAGCAGCCTCCCCTGGAATAAGCAAATACAATAAAT